TAATATCATTGATTTATTTCAGCTCTTACACCGACCTTAATTTCCATATGCCAACAGGTTAGTAACAATACTTAACATAATATTGAATTTATTGTGTAAATGTTTTATATTATTATTTAAATTCTAGATTTCGTATAATTTTATGCTTCCTTTTGAGAATATACCTGATGATTTGGTTCCGCTCACTGCACATTTCAAGCACCTGCTTACTTACGCTACACCAATACAACCTTTATTTTTCTTCCTTGATTCAATTGATCAATTGACTGGAACAGCGGATAAAGTTTCTTGGCTGCCAACTCGGATGCCGCCAAATTGCAAAGTATACACTTATTTATTTATTAATCTGGCGTTAGTTTTGCGATACAAATATTTTTCGACACTGTTTTCATACAAAAATTACTAAAAATCCCTATTTTTGATTAAATTTTCTATATATTTTGGGAAGATTTTTAACCCAAAAATGAAAATTTTGTATAGGAGATACCCCTGATTTTCTTTAAAAAATCTTTAAAGTTTCAAAAAATTATTTTTTTGTGAAGAAAACCCTAGTTCAACAAAAAAATTGTCCTCTTTTATTGGAAATTTTTTTAATTTTCCCTTGTGAAAATAAAGTGACTGACTGATTATAAATTAAGTCAATTTTAATCACTTTTATTCGATCAAAATTACCAATATAGTCGGCTATGTTTCAGAGTTAACTAAAAGTGATTATAGTCAACATAGTTGACAAAAGTCAATTTCATATACTTATAGTTAACCGTAGTTAACTATGATCACAATCGACATTTCTCAACTCAAGTTACGTGAAGACGCATATAGTCACTTATAGTTAACTTTAGCTGACTGAAATATCAGCCATTTTTGTCCCAAACTAGTCAATTTATAGTCGGCTATGAAGTCGAAATATTTCCACAAGGGATAGGAATAATTTTACCCCATCAACAATAATCAAGCTCCAATCATTCAAAACAAAACATGTTTTCGAAAGGCCTTAGTTTCTTGACCCATTCCAATATTTTACACCTGGGTGTTTGCGGAAAAGTAAAATAAAGTAGCGAGATTGAATAATATCAAAATAAATGAAAACATTGGCGGACGCTCTCAATTTCTCAATTGGTGCATTTTAGATTTTATTATCATGTGCTAACGAAGAGGCCAATCCAACTGTGTCAAGAGAATATCACTTATTGAGACGATTAATTGATATTGATGAAAATTTTATTGAAGTACGTGAGTTGGGAGAGGATCTCGCAATGAATGTAAGACAGATTTATTCATTGAAATATCAAACAATGCGTGTTTTGTTCAATTATCATGCAATCATAACTTTACAACTAATTTAAACCAGGTAATAAAAAGATGGATGAATACAGCTTGTCGTGATTTAAATAATTTTCAGTGGCGCCTTGTCGCTAATGCGATTGCTAAGTGTTCACTACCAATATTTGTAAAACTAGGTGAGAATGGTAGATGAATTTTTATATTTTATGCCAAAATAAAGGCATTCTTATTTTTCTCAGTTTTTGCTGAAATTTGCCGTTGGCGAAGTTATACTCGCCCTCAGGAGACGCATTTGGCAAATACTGTTATGGATTCTATTATGATGTTATTCGAGCGGATTGAAAAACAACATGGGCGAATATTAGTTTTCCATGCATTGGCTTATATCACTGCAGCAAAGAGTGGGTTATCTGAAAGTAAGTTCCAACAATGTCCTGAAACTGTTATGTCGTAAGTGAATTTTTTGATAAATTGAAAGCCAGCAACAACTCAATATTTAGTTGAGAAGGTATAAGGAACGGTAATTTAATTTAAAACAAAATCAACTGAATTACAGTCACTAAGCTAAAATTGATTATATTCTAACAAAGAAAATATGAATGACAGTTCATTTTATCTGAAATCATGAATGAATTTATCAATATTACTTCCAGGTGAACTTGAAGATTTAATTTCTCTAGATGATAAGGTTCTCGATGATGTATATCAATACCATATGCCCCCAGTTCGTCGCATTCCACCACTTTTATGGACACGTATTTAAAAATTAATTGTGAACGCTAGATTTCAAGTATTTATTGATGATTTATTTATTAGGCATTCGAAATGATCTACCGAATTATTTAAGTGAACGTGAAGCGGACGGGGTTAACGTTATGAATTGGTACCACAGACAGTTTAGAGATACTGCGAGAGAAAGATACTTCAAGAATTTAAACATGGCAGTTTATTTTCACTCATCTATTGCTGACTATTATTTGGTAATAATAATTTATATAAAATAATAGATTTATTAAAATTATAATTTGATTGAACTCTTCTTTGGACAGGGTATTTGGGGCGGTGGCAAACCAAAACCATTTAAATTTACAGAAATTCAACGACATCGGTATGCATATAATATAAAGATAACTGTATTTTGATTAATATTTTCAATACTACAACTTTTATTGCGGAAAAGGTTCAATCTGACTGATAAAGAAGGTTCAGCGGATAGAAAAGTACCAATACAACCATTGGCATTTACAAATAAGGAAGGTGTTATAACTCGATATAATCTCAGAAAGGTATTGTCACGTCGAAATGATTATTACATATTAATATTGTATAAGCATTATATTTTGCGTTTAAACAGTTCGGAGAGATGCCATATCATATGGTTCGATCAAGGCGATTCAAAGACCTTTATGAGCACGTGCTTTTCAATTATGAATGGTTGCATGCAAAATTATCATCATGTCCGCTCCAAGCTGTATTAGCGGTATATAGTACTTAATGCATTTCAATAATTCTTCTCGTCCATAAAAAACTTTACCTGAATTGTTGCATGCATGCAAATGTTGTAGGATTTCGAGGATGCTTCCATAAATACTGATGATAAGGATTCAAAAAGAGAGATGATGCTAGTCGCAGATGCGCTTCGTTTAGGTGGTGCTATTCTTGCTCTTCATCCAAATATGCTGGCTGCACAATTAATTGGACGAGTATGGTCCTCTATATTATTTTAATAATGTATGAAAAAAAGATTTAAAACATTTCTCTTTTTTGATCAGTTACTGCCGGAAATAGGTGGTAACCCAAATATATTTATGTTACTAAAGGCTTGTGACAATAATGGACCCAAAGATTGTGCATTGATACCATTGAATCATTGTTTGCATACACCCGGTGGTCCATTGAAGGTCTGTTATATAATACCTATATCTTATATTCCATAGACAACGTAGATTTTTCAATTAATTTGGTTTGCTCATTTTCAGTATTCTCTCGAAGGCCATCAATTTGCCGTATTCGGATTTGTTTTGACCAATGATTTGAGGTATATGGTGTCAATTTCGACTCGTTTCATTACATGGGATTTATCGACATCTGATCTACAACGAGATGTTAATCCAGGAATTGAAGGCATAATGCAGCAATTAATACTTAGTCCAGATAACAAATGGGCTGCAGCCTATTCAAATAATAATCAAACCGTTCTGCTCAATATGCTATCAAGTGAATTTGTTATAATAGAGAATCCATTCGATGGAAACAATTGTGTAACAGGAGTTTTTTTACTGAATCAAAAGTAATTTAATTTTAATTTATTATTATCCATAAAGTTTCAAATTTCGAACCCATTTCTTCAGTCTTTTCATTCATACAAAACGTAAATGGGCTTCTTTTGATATGCGTGGCAATTTTATTGAACATTTCGATGCGGTGGACGTGGATGATGAATGGGAAATTCTGAGTATAGTTTTGAAATCTTCAATTCTTATTTCTTTTAATTTTTAGAACTACGTCTCTTTTCTTTAAGTGATGTATATGTTTGAGCCAACTGCTTATCACATTATTTATTGGTCAGGACAATTAACAGCCGAATCTGGTCGTCTAAGAATTGATTCATTTTTAAATGGTTCTCAAGCTACACCTCTCTCATATCATAGCGTTTTAACATCAAACAAACAATGGAATCGTGTGTTTTGTTGTACAAAACCAAATAACTATTCAGTTTCAGAATATAAATATTTTCATGATGAAGAGAAAAATATTTACTACTGGAAACATCAAAAAGATCTCGATTGTTACGATAACTACGAAAAGGAAGCACTTTTGCAATTAAAATTGGATCAACGTGATCGGTTTTTAATTGGAACCGCTGGAAAAGGATTCATTGTGTGGGATTTCAATAAAGAAAACCGAATTGGTATCGGAGCTATATACCTACCGCTACCGCATAGCGTAAGAAATATTTCCACAAGAATGATGACATCAAATTCCATGATGATTAGTGGAAAACATGATTATGCTGTGGCTGGCGTCCGGTTAGTTAAATAACGTTATTTTATCATTTCCTAGAACACATATTATGGTTTATTTTTAATTTTTATAGGAAAAATTTATACGTTTGGTGTCTACAATCGCGTCAATTGGTTAAAGTATTGGATGCTCATTTTGGTCGCATTATACAATTAGAACCATTAACTATAGGTAATTGGAATTGTGCCATAACATCGTCCATAGATCGTAGTGTAAAAGTTTGGAACATTAATAATATCTTCGAACCTGTGCATGTAATTGATCGTCATGAACTTCAAATTGATCATATTAGGTGTGTAATAGGGTGGCTCAAAAAAAAGTATTTAATTTTTAACATTCTAGGCCGGTTTTAGCATATTTGAGGCCTAAAAACACGATATGGACCATTGGTTTGTTCAAGTAGGGAACCATGGCGCTACAAATTCATTGGGAAGATACCTCAATGGACCCATTTTGGTGTATTTTGAACGATTTCTATTTCCTGAAAAAAGAATGTAAAAAATACGTAGTGAGGGATTTTTTGGTGCGAGAAAACCGAATCTGGCGTTATTTTTGCGATACGATCAATGGTTAACACATTTTTCATACAAATAAAATGTTTTACATCCGTAAGATGAACTTTTCCGCACTGTGAT